TCTCTCTCTCTCTCTCTCTCTCTCTCTCTCTCTCTCTCTCTCTCTCTCTCTCTCTCTCTCTCTCTCTCTCCCTCTCTCTCTCTCTCTCTCTCTGTGTGCGAGGATGTGGGTCCTCGGCAGGCCTAAGGGGCCGCTGTTGCATCTGCGCCCGCCCTAAGCGAAGGTGGGCCTCATAAATCACGAGAGGCCCTCGGCTGTCAATTTCGTATTTGGGGTCCAGGCAGTTTCGTCGCACCAGTTGGTTGAAGGAAAACACAGGCCGAGCAGCGAGGAAATTCCACGGCCTTCTAGGCTTTTCCGAAAGCGCAGGCCCTTGGCGAGATTCACAGCCTCATACACAGGCAGTTGGGAGGCCCAACCGAATGAGGCCAAGTAGCTGCAACAGAGGCGCAGCATCCTGGGGCCTACCGGAAGCTTCTGGGCCCATGCCCAGGCCAGCCAGGCTGCGAAGGCAGGCAGGCTCTTTCCATATAGGATAGAGCTCGCTGCCTGGAGCGGCATTCAGCACTTGCATGCTGGCGGCAGCGCTGCTAGAGCGGACACTCGTGGGCTGCTGCTGGCGCTGAGAGGCAAGGTGCTAGCGCGTGCAGTCGTGCAGGGAGCAGGGCGCTGCTGAGGGCAGCGCCATAGCCCAGCATTCATAGTTGGATGGGCTTGGACTACAGTGAGGCGCAGGGGTGGTCTTCAGGTGTAGAAAGGGAAGACGTGGGAGTAAGTCAGGGGAGAGATAGAAGGATGATGATGATGATGATGTGACGGCACATACCTGGTATTGGCGATGGTCTGCATTGGGCGACATCTTCAAGTACTTCGTGGGCTGCTGACGTCAACAGTTGCATTGTCAATTAGTAGGCAGACTGTGACATTAACTCATGTTGGTGGTGGCGAGAGCTAGCTCTCATTGACATTGGTTTTCAGTGCTACAATTCCTCATTGGTGTTATTGGTGCAATTCTGCTTTCTGGACACTGTAATACTATCCGGCCTTCAATGTGATTGTGCATTCTGGACATTGTCGTCTTGCTCTTGCTCATTTTCCTTGCATCTCTCTCTCTCTCTCTCTCTCTCTCTCTCTCTCTCTCTCTCTCTCTCTCTCTCTCTCTCTCTCTCT